TGGACCCGACGGCTGCGGAGGCGGCGGCGGCGGCTAGCGGGGTGGTGGTCGCCGTCAACGCGGAGGGGCAGGTGTGCGCTGTTTGCAAGTCGGAGGGCTGCTGTATCGGCGCCGCGGAGCTCAGCAGCTGTATTGAGATTGCTACTGCGCTGGCGCCGAAGCTGCTGCAGCAGATACGCGCCGCCATGGCTGCACACGACGCGCGCCGGCAGGAGGCGTTAAAGGGGCAGTTTGTCTGGGCGCAGAAGCGTAGCGGAGTCAGCAGGGCGGAGACGGAAGAGGCGAAACGGGCAAGGACGGAGGGCTGAGCGGCGGTGGAAAGCCCACAGCGACCGAAAAAAGAACGAAAGGAAAGAGTTGCTGGAGGAAGGTGACTGAAGGGGAGAAGGCAAAGCACATTCAAGCATACATGTGTGCCCGAGCGTGTATTGTGAAAACGGATAAGATGAAACAACGAAGAAGAGCAACAACAGCAAAAAAAAAAGGAAATTCACGAAGNCCGAGCGTGTATTGTGAAAACGGATAAGATGAAACAACGAAGAAGAGCAACAACAGCAAAAAAAAAAGGAAATTCACGAAGTGCATCATATGCACTCGTTTGTAGTTCTATCTTCTGCGAGTACGACCCCTTTTTGGCTGTGGACATGCGTTGTCTTACTTTTCCCCGCTTTTTCTTTGCTCTCGGTTTTGTCTGTTTCCCAGCTGTGTCGCCTTTGCTGCTTCTGCTTTTGGTGTTCCTCCTGTTGCTGCTCCTATTTTGCCCCGCGGCTGCCAAGGCAAGAGCGTAGTGCGCGCCAATCTCCGCGTTGGCTTCTCTCGTCAGTGTGCGTGTGTGCGTGTGTGCAATGGACTCCAGCCCCCCAATGGAGGAGGAACTTGGCGCTTCGGAGGTGCTGTGGTCTCCCGACCTCAACACGCGCTGGCGCCTGCTGCGGCGGCATATATCACCCTTCGAGAAGGACCGTTCGGCGTACCACTCGGCAAAGTATCAGAAACCCGTGTTTGTATTTATGAACCCCATCGCATGGAGACGTTTGGTTGAGAAGCAGGGAGCCTACCGGGCAGTGGACCTTATGTTAATGTTGGGCTTCGCACCGGCGCCGGAGGGCCAGGTGAACATTGTCGAATGGATCGAGCGCGAGGCGACCGCCGCCGCCACACGTGCTGCTGTTTCTGCTGCGAATGGCGGCAGTAATTCTGGTGGTGGCGGTGTTGGAGGACGCCGGTCGTGCGCCGTGCCGCCGGGGCTTGGGGAGGAGTCGCGTGTGGGCGGCGGCGTGCGCTTCTGGGTGCTCAACCACGAGGACTCGCGCCCATCTACCTTCGGCTCACCGGTGAGTCGATACATGTCACCGCGCTCTGCCACACTAGGCCTGCGCGCGAGCAGTCCGACGCTGGTGACGACGCCGCCTATTGCCATTACTAATGGCACTAGTACTAGTACTACTACTACTACTACTACTACTACTACTACTATGACCACTGCTGCTGCTGCTGCTGCAGTAGCGAGCGCCGCACTCGTTGGGCCGCGGGCGGAGGTGGACGGCGCATCGATGCGTATCCGCAACCTGGAAGCGGAGGTTCGGGAGCTTACGCGGCAGGTGCGAATTCTCAAGTCACGTGAGTCTGAGCGTGGGCTGGGTGTCGCGTCCAACGTGGTGTTGCAGCATGAGAGTCCGCAGCCGCACATCATTGTACGCCCCGACCGCCCCTTTATGGCCTCTTCCAATTGCCACTCGCTCGTGTGCCTGCCGGTGAACTACCTCGACCCCGATTGCGCTCCGTACGTCGTGTCGCTCGGCGCATCCGCCGGCCGCACGCTGCTGGCCTGCACGATTGTAGAGCACCGCTATGTTATATTCGTTGCGCCGCCGCACCGTCGTGGCTCGCTGACGGTAGTATTGCTCTGCACGCGTGACGGTACACTTCGACCGTACGCGCGCGCGGTGTGGCTGGNCGTCGTGGCTCGCTGACGGTAGTATTGCTCTGCACGCGTGACGGTACACTTCGACCGTACGCGCGCGCGGTGTGGCTGGAGTACCAGCCGCAGGACCCACCTAACACACTCACCCACCACGCCGTGAACCAGCTGCTGCAGGAGATCCCACTGCCGTCCTCTGCCACCGTCGCCGACCCAAACCCGAGCGAGATGGAGCAGACGAAGAGTGAGAGTGTCTTCGAGGATGATAACACGTTCTGCGACACCGACACCGCCGTGAGCACGTCTGACCACGGCCTCGAGGCAGAGCCGCGCCTGCCTCTGACGAAGGAGATGCTGGAGCTCATCCCAAACGGCGTCATCATCGGCCCGCGCGCCCCACACACCGTGGACACGAGCCATATGCATGCAAACGACGGCACGGTGAGCGCGGCCGGAAGCGAGAGCCTCTTCGGCGGCGCCGAGCGCGAGGAGGAGGCGGCACCGGCCGAGCGGCTGTGGAATGGGCGCCGTGAGATGAAGCGCGGTGGCAGCACGACGATGAGCACTGGCCTGCCGACGAGCTACCAGCGTGGGCAGCAGAGCGGCTACTCCGACGAGGAGACGACGCAGCACGCCTTCAACTGCGCGACTAACCGCACTGATCTCAGCAGCTCCACCGCTACGTCAGTGATCAGCCTCGACAGCGCGACACCCAGCGGCATCATGGCGTGTAGAGGCTGGGTGCGGCGCCGGATGCAAGGGACGCCAACCGGCAGCCAGAGCCGCAGCATGAACGCACGCACTGACTCCTTCTCCGCCATCGCCACAACTCTCGACGAGCAGCTCCACAACGAAGATATGTCGTCACCACAGGCACGAAGAAGATCGACGGCATCCCACTAGGAATGTCAAGCTCCGCCACCACTGTGAGTGGCAGAAAAACAAGAGGTAGCACCATGTACCGACGCTTTCCTTGTTGGAGTGCCCTCCCCCCTCCTCCCCCTTTCCTCCTATCTTTTTCCCCTTTTTTTTTCTCGAGGTGGCCGTAGGATCACTCTTCGCGACATAAATTGTTGTTCTTCCGTGCCGTTTTAGTAAGGAGCACGCACAATATACATATATACATACGTGCGTCAGTACGTGTACCCAAGCACGACACTAACTAGTGTGATTAGAAATGCTGACAACACGGCAGCTTGTTTCCTCTTCCGTGACACACGTGGCGTGCCCCCTTCTTCTTGAGGACGGTGGCACCGTCATCCTCGCCGCCGTCGCCTCTTCTCTGGAGGTAAGGCTCCCTGTCTGGGACACCGATAGCGACGGCAACAAATGCTGCAACTTTGTACTAACAGGAGATGTGCTGCACGTCGGGAGCGTCGTGGTAGCGCTTGTGCCCTGCGGGCATCAGTGCTTCGTCGCCTTGACGCAGGACAGTGAGCTGGTGGTGGGGCGCTACCAGGCAAACTTGCCAGCACCGCGTGACTCTTGGCTGGCCAAGGACGCACTGCACCACAACAATGCGTGGATCATTCTGCACCGCGCCAAATTAATGACGTCGAGACTTGGAAGCCGCGCAATGCCATCCGCGCGGCTGCTCTTTGCCTGCAGCAGGCGCGGCACCATTGTACAGTGCAGCGTCATTCGCGGCTTCCGGCACACCGTCAGCATAGACATAGCTGATATTGCATCCGAGACATTTTTACTCGAGAAGTGGGCCTTCGACGTCCCTCACAGTGTGGGGCCGTACTCCAACGGCGTTGCGCCGTTCAAGCGCGACGTGGTGGAAAGGTCAGACGAGGAGCTTTTGACGCACTGCAGTGTCACACAGCTGGCAGCGCGTAAGCGTGTGCAGCGGCCATTACCTGCTGCTTTTCCGTCCGGCACACCACCCGTCAGCGTGACGGTGCTCTTCGGCCCCTGCGACAACCACGTGGTGTCAATGGCGCTCATGCCAACCTCACACCACCCGAGGAATGAAGGTTTTGTGTTCGTCTCCGCCGTCCGCACGCCGTTGAACGTGTACGAGGCTATGCCGCCCCGTCTTCGCAGCAACGTGCTGCCGAGTTTTTCTGTCGGCGGCTCGCCGTACTTGGTGCTGACGCTTTCGGACCGTGCTCTGGTGTTTTCACTTCTCCATGGCGTGCACGTGTTGTCTGACCTGGGCATTGCCACGCCGCCGATAGTCAAAATAGTCGACGTTGTGCAAAACAACGGTGCAATGCTTCTCGCGCGAAGCTCACAGCAGCCATTTGCTGGTGTTGTCCTACAGCGCGACGGCGCGACTGACGTTTTGTGGCTGTTGATGAGCAATGGCCTGCTGACGGAGGTGCACCTGGATGGCCTACAGTCGAGCAGGTTCAACGCCGTGCCGACCACCACAGAGATAGCTGGCAGTGATTTAGGTGAATGGCCGGTGACGAACATCCACGGATTACCGCACGGCTTCTGCGCCGCCTCAATCGTGCCATATCAGCACGAACAGCGAGACTTTCAGGCGTACGGAGTGACGGAGCGCTACGCGATGCTGAGTGATGGTGTGTGCGACACGTTCCTCATCGACCTCGTCGAGCGGCGTGCGGTGGGCAGCCTGCCGTCAAATGGTGCCATGACATCCGTGTGCGCTGGCCCCAACATGGACCTCGTCGTCTCCTACACAAAGGGCCTGCTGCAGCGTCTGTCACCGGGTGTGGTGGCGCACCTGCGGGTGCGCGCCGTGCTGGCCGGCGTCCACCAGATGTACGCGCTTCCGCACATGGACGCAATGGTGACAGCTTCTGCTGCGGGAACCAAAACATTATTTTTTCATTTTTTGGTGACCACTGCCACGCGTACAGTTCTTATGCGGGGGACAGCTGGAGGCCTTGAGGAGGTCTGCGAGACACCAGAGCTAGTGTTGGATGAGCCGACACTCGCGGTGTACTCTGCGACGACGACGACGACGACGACGACGGCTGCGGCTGCTGCCGCTTGTGCCCCCGCCGCCACGGCCGCAGCAGCAACACCAACATCATCCTCATCATCATCGTTGACTTCACTTACGTTTGTCCAATGCACCCCCACGTACATCAACCTCGCAGGGACTCGTACTCGGGTGAGGGATGTGCTTCCAGAATTCGATGGTGTGTCGCATGCCTGCTTTGTTAGCAACGAATTGCTTGTGGTTGCTGATGGCCGACGCATGGCTGTCCTTTCCATCGGTCAAGATGCCACGTCACGTGTGGTCGTGCTGGAGCAGCTTTCGGGTGACGTGTCACACTTGGCCGCGTTGCCCGTGCGTGGCACACAATGGAGGTGGGGCGTTTTGGTGTGCCTGTGGTCGCACGAGCTGGTCGTGCTGGTGCTGGACGCGTCCTCCAGCGTGAAGCGTTACGTGGTGCCCACCGCTGCCGTCGTCCTGTCGAGCTTTCCACTCCCCCACAACAGCGTGGGGCTAACGTTCTTGGACCGCACATCGGCTGTGCTGCGCTACACTTCGGCAACAAAAACAAAGTCGGCATCAGCGGCAGTAGCAGAAGAGGCGTTCAACCCGACTTTTACTGCACTGGAGGACGTTAATGGCGCAACCTTTAAGGCAGACCGCTGCATTTCCGTCTCGGCGCTTGACGGGTCGATTTTTGGCGCCAATCACTTTAATCTTGTGGCTTTGTGCGACAGGAGGGTGGAATTTCTGGCGCTGGGGTCATCGTTGACCATTGAGGAGCAGCTCTGCGTCGCGCTGTCCGCATCAACCTCAAACAGGAGCAACGACGATGAGGAGACGCTGTTTCAGTGCGGCTTCGTGTTGTACCTCCCTGCCGTGTCCTTCTACGTGCTGGTACTGTCGGACGCCGCTGGCATTGTGGTTGCGTCACTCCCCGATTTGCTGCCGCCGCCTGAGACACCCGAGACGCAAGCGCCGCTC